AAACAAAGGATGAGGGATAGTTTATGGCTTAATAACTAGGAAACCAAATCTGAGCTAGATCCAGGAGGTGAAAGATGTCATCAGGAATCTCTCTTCCCTAGACCCTCAGTTCTGCTTGGCTAAGGAGGTCTCTCCACTTAGAAGTGAAGTAATCCCTGCAGTTTCAAGATGCTATAGTCCGGCTGGGCACAGTGCTACACATCTGTAATCCCAGTGGCTCAAGGGGATGAGACAGGAGGATTGGGAGTTCAAAGCCAGCCTCAGCAACTTGGACTCTAAGCAACTTGGCAAGACCCTATCTCTAAATGAAATTTAAAAAAAACAAAAACAAAAAACAGGGCTGAGGATGTGACTCAGTGGTTAAGTAATGCCCCTGGGTTCAATCCCTAGTACAAAAAAAAAAAAAAGCCATAATTCTTAAAGGTTTTCATCTAGAAAATAAAAGTGTGTCTTTCCTTATAATACAAGAAAGTCTGGTATTATAAGTACCTGTTGTCAGGTGAATAGAGTACTTAGACCATGCCATGCCATGCCATGCCATGAGGTCACCAAAAGAAGGAAGGGTCTTCCCTAATGAATCAACTGGACTAAGTTGAATTAATGTGGAGTGGGGGGAGAGATGAAGTTTTCTGATGGAAATGCTTCTAAGTAGAAAATTTAAATGTGAAAATTTAAATTGTGAAGATTCAGTGTAGACTTTTTGTTTGTAGACTTTTTTGGTGTGTGTATGTGTGGGGAGGTTACTGGGGATTGAACCCAGGGGTTCTTTACTACTAAGCTACATCCCCAGCCCTTTTTTATTTTGAGATAAGGCCTCACTCTCACTAAGTTGCCCAAGCAGGCCTCAAACTTGTGATCCCCCTGCTGTAGCTTCCTAAGTCGCTGGGATTACAGGCATACAAACCACTCTCAGCTGTTTATATTCTTTCTTTTAAAAAAATATATATATATCTATATATATCTATATATAGAGAGATATATATTTTAGTTGTAGGTGGACACAATACTTTTATTTTTATGAGGTGCTGAGGATCAAACCTAGTGCCTCACACATGGTAGGTAAGCACTCTTCCTCTGAACCACAACCCCAGCCCCTGTATTTTTTCTTTTTGAGGCTTTTTTTTTTTTTTTTTATCAAGAGTTGAGTTTTATGTTCTTGTCTCTACTGAGATGCTGCCTTTTGTAGAGTGCTTGGCAGGAGAATGGGGATTACAAGTAAGGATCTCACAGTCCTTCATGTTCCAAAAACTAGGAGAAGAGAAAAAGTCCAATCAGTGTATTTGGGAAGAGGCTAGAATTCTTGATTCTGTGACCTTTAGCTTCACAGAGGAAATGAAAGACTTCTCTATAAAAGATAAGACATTTAGGTGTGGGGCTGGGGCTTAGCGGTAGTGCACGTGCCTGGCATATATGAAGCACCGGGTTCAGTTCTCAGCACTGCATATAAATAAATAAAATAACAACTAAAAAAATTTAAAAAAAAAGAGAGAAGACATTTTCTAGACATTTGTGGTGGTATATCTCTGTATTCCCAGCTACTCAGGAGACAGAGACAGGAAGATTCCATGTTCAGGACCAGGCTGGGCAACTTAACGAGACCCTGTCTCAATATTTTAAAAAATAGGAAGACAGGCACGTAGGCTAGGATGTAGCTTAGTGGTAGAGTGAGAGAGGGAGCGAAGGAATGTAGCTTAGTGATAGGTTGCTTGCCTTGCATGTGCAAAGCCCTGGGTTCAATCTCCAGTACCTTAAAAAAAAGGTAAACATTTGCATTAGTCTGAATTCTTAATCTTAAGTTGTTTTAGTCTCATTGACATACACTTATGAACTGGAAGAGCTGTTCATATGTGTGTGTATCTTATATATGATATATAATATTTATATATACTAATACATGTAAATATATATAAAATATAATGTTTATATATTCTATTATATATACATATATATAGCTATAAATTACCTTCTAAATCTTAGTATGAAAATGAGGAAGTTTCTAGTACCTTGCATCAACTTCAAGGAGAACTGACATCATCTATCAGATTTATAAGCAAGATGACAAATGAATTTCACTTCTCTCTTTCCAGGATATGAATATATTTTTATTATAATATGCATACATTTTTATGCTGCAAATTATTTGGACATAGTTACTTTTATATACTCTCAGATTAAGTACACATTCCAAGTAATACTTGAGAAATCAAATCTATCTTTGTTTGGAGAACCAACATTTAAAAGTGTTTGATTTCTTCACAAGCATAGGTTGAAAGCCTCATGGCAAAGGGTTTAGAAGGTCTTTTCCTAAAGGATTAATTCATAATTATTCCAGTCAATGCCACTAATCACAAAATATATCCCACTCAATAGTCCCAAGCAGCTAACTCTGTAACTATATACAGAGTTCTCTCAGAGGTTCATGTAATGGCAAGATGATGCTGGAAAACAAGGAAAAAATCCAACAGATTCTTGCAAGAGCCATAGATGATATGTGATTATACAACAATAGTTCTCTACAGATGGAGGGATGTGTTTTTTTTAATATTTATTTTTAGTTGTAGGTGAACACAATATCTTTACTTTACTTTTATGTGGTGCTGAGGATCAAACCCAGTGCCTCACACATGATAGGTGAGCACACTACCTCTGAGCCACTACCCCAGCCCGAGGGATTTTTAAGAAAGCAAATTCAGTGTCTTTCTGTTTTGTGTATACGTGTCTTTTTGTGGTGGTTTTGCTACTGGGGATTGAATCCAGTACTCTATCACTGATCCACACACTCCTACCCTCTTTTTATTTTAATATTTATTTTTAGTTTTAGGTGAACACAATATCTTTTTTTTTTTTAATGTGGTGCTGAGGATCGAACCTAGTGCCTCACGTGTGCTAGGCAATCACTCTGCCACTGAGCCACAACCCTAGCCCTTTTTAAAATTTAAGTAATATGAACTACAGAATGCAAAGTTTTCTAGTTGGAGGGGGCACACAGTGAGAAAGCACAAGGGGTATGAGTAACATAACAAAGGTTTTTAAAAACCTAAAAGTATAAATAATTAATACTGATTTTTTTCATAAACTTACCAGAACTTAGTGATTTTTCTTTCAAAATTCATTTAGGAACAAAGTTCTTGATAGTGCCTTAAAAGTCACAAGTATGCCACTATGAACTGTAACAAGTCTACAAAGACATAAAATTGGGGGGGGGTGTAATTGTAAAACAAACTCACTGCAAAGTTAACCTGACACAAAAAAAGGTTTATAGTTTACATAACACTTTCTCACATTTTCTCATTTGTCACATATTTAATGATAGGCATAAATTGTGCTACATGCTAATTAAGCTTAATTAGTAAGGTCTTGTGAATGACTATAAATAGAGGGACTGGTTAGCTGCGAAAGAAAATTTTCAGTTCTTTTTTTTAAAGAAAAAACCTTATTAGTTACCTAGTATATATAACCAGGGTGAATTTAAATCATATTCCTCATTTTCCATCATATATGTTGATCTTCATGTATGTTAAGAAAGAAACATAACAACTGTGGTTGGGTGTGGTGACACACGCCTGTAACCCCATCGACTCCAGAGGCTGAGGCAGGAAGATTGCAAGTTCAAGGTCAGCCTGGGAAAAAGGAAAAAAAAATAAAAAGGGCTGGGGAAATAGCTTAGTGGCAAAACACCCCTAGGTTCAATCTCCAGTACCAAAAAAAAAAAAAAAAGAAAAGAAAAGAAGAACAACAACAAGAAAGAGGGTCCTCTAAGACCTTACTCATAGGCAGCTAAGAGTCCCTCATTCCAGGACTTTTGTTGTTCCAACTTTCAAATCCTACCAATGCCCTCTTATTCTCACATCTCTCTTACTAGCACTCATCTACTAACACCTGAAGGGGACTTACATATAACATTCATTCGCCAGCAAATGTTTATTGAGCATTATGTGCTAGAAACTGAGGAAGACTCTGGAAACATACACAGTGGTTGGCCAGGCAACCCTGGTCCTTACTTTCATGGAGCTCAAAGATCATATGGAGGCAGACACATCCTAGAGGTGAGCAGGAAGTTGGCAGACCCATTTGACCCTCCATTAAGCTATAACATAGCTATTATCAAATCTAAAGATAATACATGAGTTTCCCTTTGCCTTTTTTTCCTCATTTGGTTCAGCACTCAGGCAGGAAAACAGCTGTCATGGACTGGTTCCCTCTAACCTCCAGTAAAGGATGATGCTGTAGGAGAAAGTGCTTGAGGCTTATAGCCTGATATTTAATAGATGAGGGGGAGCTGTGTTTAGGCAGGAATTGGTAAAGTGACATATAAATGAAATCATACAGTATATGTTATTTTGCATCTAGCTTCTTTCACTTAATGATTTTATGTAGCATGTATTAGTACTTCATTCCTTTTTTGTGGTTGAATAATGTTCTGTCATACAGATATACCACATTTTGTTTATCCATTTATCAATTGATGGGTTTTGGGTTGTTTCTACCTTTTTGTCACTGAATAGTGCTGCAATGGACACTCATATAGGAGTTTTTGTGTAGACATGTTTTCATTTCTCTTGGGTATAAACCTAAGAATAGAAGTACAAAGTGATATGGCAAACTCTATGTTTGACTTTTTGAGTAACTGCCAGACTGTTTTCTAAAGTGGTTGAATCATTTTACATTGTCACCAGCAATGTATGAGGGATCCAATTTTTCCATGTCCTTGTTTATATATATCTGTATAACACAAATGTTATACAGACACACACACACACATATATATATATATATATATACGTACACACACACATATGTACATACATATATGTGTATATGTATATATGTGTGTATATATATGTATGTGTATAAATATGAATTTTTTTTTACTGAGGATTGAATCCAGGGACACTACCACTGAACTACAGTTTTTTAAGCTGATTGAACCCAGTGCCTCACGCATGCTAGGCAAGTGCTCTACCACTGAGTCACAACTCCCTCCTTATACTTTTAAATTTAATAAGCATTATAATTTTATGAACAAGCCATTGATTATATACAAACTGTGTTTTGAGGCTTGCAGACTAAAAGTCTTGAGTTCATTAAGGAATTCATCATAGTAATAGCTATTGCTTTCATAATATTTAAGTGCCAGAAGCTGTTTGGGCATTCCACAAATATTAACTCATCTAATTCTCATAACAGTCCTAAGAGGTAGAAACTGTTATCATGATACTCATTGTACAGATAGGAAAATGGAGGCAGAGGGAGGGTAAATAATTTGCCTGAAGCCGTAGGTTAAGCAGCACAGATAGTCTTCAGATTCTGTTACTCTTAACTACTTGCTAGGGCTTGGGATGTAGATCAGTGGTAGAGAGCCTGCCTAGCATGTGCCAAACCCTGGGTTCATCCCCAGTACCACAAAAAGTGAAGCAAAATAAATAAACCACTTGCTAGACTACCAAAGGGTAATTATATCACTTCAAAGAATGCCTACCTTTCACTTTGAGATGTTTTCATGCCATCTGCACTGTAGACATTTGTCCTCTCCTTACTGACCTGGGAAACTAGAGCCATTCATCTAGGCATCTTCATTGCCCCCCGGCCCTCCCAGTCTAGTGCCCACTAGGGTTCATAAGTTGGAGGTTTTAATGCTCTTTGAAGTGACTGAGAAATTGCCTACATCCCCCAGGTGGAATGGTTCTAAATTTCTGGTGTCAAATGAACACCCAGACAGCTCAGTGGGTTCAAAGCTGAGCAGTGGGTGGAGCCAGTAGAACAGAGCCCTGCAGTGGTGTCTAGTGTGAGAAGTCTGCTTCCCCAAGCAAGCTGAGCCATGAGCTGGACCTGCCCACGTTGCCAGCAACCTGTTTACTTTGGTGAGGCTGGTGAGGCTTGGGCTGAGGAGGGGAAAGGATGGGGTGAATGTGAGCCACTGGGTTCCCTGGGAATGTGAGGGCTGGCCATGGTATGGTTCCAGATACCCTTAAACCTGTTGTGTGTGAGATCCCCTTCCCTCTCCTTCCCTCTGAGAGCTGTGTGGGATGCATGATGCTGGGGCAGGGTGGACCTGGACTCCCAGAGACACTCCGTAGTCTCTAAGGAGCAGGTCAGGCTGGGGTTGGCGGTTTGGTGGTGTCTGGTGCTTGGCCTGGCTCTTTGCAGTTAGTTCCACCTTGTCCCCCACAGCTGAAAAAGTGAGCTCCCTGGGCAAGAATTGGCACCGCTTCTGCCTGAAATGTGAGCGCTGCCACACTGTTCTGTCTCCTGGTGGCCATGCAGAGGTGAGGCCAGGGCCAGGGCACACAGTTCTTTCACCCACCAACCCACTTAATCCCACCCCAGCCCCCACTTTCAGTCTGTTACCTGCCAAAGTTTACTTCAACAGGCAACCTCAGGGCTATTCATCCGGGGCATCTCATACCAGCCAGGATTTGGGGAGCCTCAGTTGTGCCATGACTCCGTGGCTTTGAGGGGATGGGTTATTGCCTGCTTTTGCCTCCCTCTGGACCACAATGGCAATTCTGGCCTGCCAGCCCAGCACCCACCCCTCCAAGACCCACCAGATCCGGCCAGTGGACAAACACACCTGGCAGCTTATCTTGCAGCAGGCCTATGGGGCACGACCCCCTTGACCCTGAGTGACTCCTTCCCTCTGTGCCCAGCACAACGGGAGACCATACTGCCATAAACCATGCTATGGGGCTCTCTTTGGACCCAGAGGTAAGAAAGAGCCTAAAAGGGGCTAGGGAAACAGAACGTTCCTTGTGGCTGGGAACCAAGCCCTGATCTTCCCTATTCCTCCTCTCTGCAGGGGTGAACATTGGTGGTGTGGGCTCCTATCTCTACAATCCTCCCACTCCCTCCCCTGCCAACATCACTTCCCTCAGCCCCAGCAGCTTCAGCCCCCCCAGGCCAAGGACTGGCCTCCTCCATGGCAAAAAAAGTAAGTGAGGCTGGGCTTCAGCTATTCCTGCTCTTCCTCCTGACCCTCAGGATGCAGTAAAAGTTGAGTTTCAGGGGCAGTCTTCTACCCAGCCCTCTGCTTTACATTCCTACAACTCTGTCCTTGGAAAAATCTACCCATGCCCTTTTTTAGATTTTCCCTCATGTCAGCTTCTGAGCTTAAGAAGTAAATCACATGTAAAGTAAATACTTTACATGCTTCACATGTAAAGTATTAGCACTTTACATGTGAAGCAACTAAGGGATAGAGAGGACAAAGGACCTTGTGTAGTCACATAGCTATTGAGAGAGCCAAAGATGGCCTAGAACTCAGGCCTCTTTCCTAGGCCAGGACCATGGAAGAAAAGACAAGTTGAGGGGTCATGAGGATAGAGTCATTTCCTCAGATACTTCAACTTCTCTCCTCTGGCCCCTATTCCTTCCTCCCACTCCATTGCATGGAGCAATGACACCATGCTCCCCAACACCTGACACTCCTGCCCCAGCCAATTCCTGTATCAGCTCAGGTTTCCTGAGGATTGAGTTGCTGACAGGTTGGGCTGGTGGGCACCTGAGCCCTTGCACGAATGACAAGGAATAATGAACACAGTGACATAGTAGTAGTCCCAGCAACTTGGGAAGCTGAGGCAGAAGGATTACAAGTTCAAGGCCACTTAGTGAGACCCTGTCTCAAAAATTTAAAAAAGCCTAGGAATATACTAAAGTACCTCTGGATTCAATTCCCAGTGCAAAAAAAAAAAAAAAAGGAAGCAGCAGGTGTTCCCTAATGCAATTAGAGATGGGGCAGAATATGGGTCAGTTCAAGGAAGGAAGACTCACAGTGCCTGGGTGGGGGCTCTGGGGTGAGTATGGGTTTTAGAAAATGACAATGGCATGTGCAGGCAGGTTCTGGTGGGCCCTGCTTAGGGTCTGGCCCAAACTACAACCCTAGCTAGGGCCTCTTCCCATTAAAGGCCCACCCCACATGAAGACATTCACTGGGGAGACCTCACAGTGCCCCGGCTGTGGGGAGCCAGTCTATTTTGGTAAGTGACAATGGAAAGTTGGGGGAGGAAAACACTAGGTTGGGCAGCAAGTGGGCAGGGAGGTGGTCCAAGGCAGGTGGCTCTCCCTGCCCTTCCCCTAGAATGGAAGAACTACCTCTTCTCTCCACTACCAGCTGAGAAGGTGATGTCTTTGGGCAGAAACTGGCACCGACCCTGTTTAAGGTGCCAGCGTTGCCGGAAGACCCTGACTGCTGGGAGTCATGCTGAGGTGAGTAGGACAGGAATGGGTGGTTTTGGGAGGAAGGAGGCTGGAGCTTGAAGACAGCCAGGCTGAGAGGGTAATCCTTCTCTCTGTGTTCTAGCATGATGGCGTCCCATACTGCCACATCCCCTGCTACGGCTACCTGTTTGGTCCCAAAGGTGGGCAGCCCCACCCCAGACAGCAGGCCTAAAGTATGGCATGTACATGGTCTGTGGGGATGTGTGGACAATGTCCCCTATGATCAAACACACTCCAGACCCCTCCCAATTCCCTAAAGCCCTGAACCCAACACCCCCCATACCCAAGGCCATTGGTGATAGGGCTCTCTCCCTCAGGTGTGAACATTGGCGATGTGGGCTGCTACATCTATGACCCAGTGGAGATAAAACCCAAATGAGGCGCTCACAGGAGAGGTCACCCTAACTCAGGCTTCCCACCATTCCCTCCATGGTCCAATGGGAGCTACAGATTTCTCCAGTCCTATGTGGTTGGGGGAAGGCAAGATCCTCAGGGCCAGGGCCTGGGCCTAGGCTCCATGGTAGGCCAGATAATCTATACCTTCTCTGCAAATTTTTCCCTTTTCCTTTCTTATCTGGTTAGGGAACACAGGCCACCCCACTTTGAATGGTGGTCTCCTGGCCTTCCTATCCCTTTCCCCAATAAATTCTGGAACTTCAAGGTCGTCTTCAAACTTTTGTTTATTGAGTCTATGCCTCTATGGCTTCTCCAATAAAATGTTGGCTCCTATGCCTTCAACACTTCTTTGGGCATGAAGCCTAGACAATAGGTTTAGTGGAGAGTGCCTGGGATTGGGTAACATGCTCAACAGCCCCACTGGCATCAAAAGGTATCACAGGGCCGTCTCTTCTTTAGTACCATCTCTAGAAAAACACCTCATTTCAATTTGAACATGACAGCAGATCTTGTAAAGTCTGTTAAGAGGTTTCATTATCCATTTGGGAAATGATAAGACTGAGGCACCGAGAAGGAAAGCTACATGCCCCTGGTCATACAGAAAATCAGTGGCAAACCTGATCACAGCCCAGGACCAACTTATTGGCTTTCCATGAGGGGTCTTCCCAAAGCTCCTCACTGCTGCCCCAACTCAAGAGGTACCTTTATTTACAGAATTCCCCCAGTCATTAGATGGGTGCCTAGAATCTTCAGCAATCCACTGCATTCTGGAAAGTTGTCCTGTTGCTAGAGGCTAAATAGTCAAGACTGGATGAGCACAGGCAGAGGGGATCAATGGCAACTTCATCCCTAGTGTTTGATGCCTCCAGCTCTGGGTCACAAGAGCCTGCCCTTCGGTTTTCTCAGCCCCTGACTGTAGACCTTCTCTGGAGGGCTTGCCCCAATTCCACTCAATTCTGGACCTGCATCTCTTCCTCCTGAAGACCAGGTTGGGCACTGGGGAGGAAGGATTCAGGAATAGTGATAGGGCTTAGTTCTGGAGCCTATCACTCCAGCCTGTCCCATCAGACTGGCCCAGGGCTCTCTCCATCTCCTGGAATACAAACACATGTACTCCCACAAGAGACTCTCACACATGCTTGTAGTGTGCACACATGTATAGACTCAACACTTTTATGCACATAAAGTGCATAGGGCATGCACCCTAAAACACATGTGCACACACTTATACATGCACCAAGTATACCTGTGCAAATGTATTCCCCTCTGAATCCTGAGCACCTGCATCTATTTGCATATGCTCACACATACACAGTCCTATATACACACCTCTTTCTCTCCACATCCTGGATGGTCTCTGGCAGCTGTGCTTGCCTCGTCTCTGGCAGCAGGAAGGTAGTGCAGGTAGCCAGCAGGGCAATGCCCCCATAAGCAAGCTTGGGCAATGACAGCCATACTCCATCCAGCAAGGCTGCCAGTGGGGCCAAAGAGCCCCCCAGTCGGCCCACTAGTGAAGTCAGCCCTATACCTGTTGGTCTGATCAGAAAGAGGATGAGGAAGGCAGGTTGTTCTCACACCTGCTGGGAAGCTCTTCCTCACAAGGCTCCCCTCCTGAGTTAGCAAGCCCTGCTACCTTTCTAGACAGCTAAGAAAGCTAGGAGCTCCCACACACGCGGGGGCCAGGAGCCCAGACCAGCACCCACCAGAGGATGGGGCCCCCATTTATACACGGTACCAAACAGGTACTACTAAAAGAAAAGTTATCAGAATGGGATAGACTAGTGTGGAAGAAAGAGGAAGGTCAGGTCAGCACCTTGCACAGTCGCTGTGGTGATGTTAGAGCCGACTCAAGTCTAAGCCGGATGCTTGTAAGGCTCATTTCCCCATTTGCCAATAGCTAGCTGAAAGGGGCCCTATAATTCTGTAAAGAGAATCCCCAAGGACAGTTCTGCCTCACCAGCCATGAATGAGATGGGATGGGTAGATGGGACTTCTTTGTGATGTATTTCTTCTGAGGCACCAAGAAGTTGACTTGGCTCACGGTCACAGTTAGAAAATGCCCCACCTCTTCCTAGATTTGGGTAAACAAAGCCCTGACCAGCCCTACATTCTAGGTGTGGTGTAAAGAATCCAGAGGCGGATGGACAGTGTGCAGAAGAGTGCAAGTTAAGGCGCGTGATTAACAAGTCCCGCCCCAGATCGGCTCCCTGGGAACCCTGCTTCCGGGCTCCCCTCACCTGAGCACTGTAGGGTACAATTCTGAAGTGAACAGGTAGGCAGTTGTGAAGGCGGCTTCACTGAAACCTTTCCCTATCACCGCCAGGGCCGTGCTCCAGGAACTCGTCTCTGAAGGAAAGCGGGGTTCGGGCAGTGAGAGGTTGGAATGCCCAAAACTCCCGGGGAATGGGAAGCCCACGGGGCAGAGCCTAACTGGCGAAGAGTCGGAGCTCCGGGGGAGGGCGGGGCTTCGTGTCCAGGAGGCGGGGTCTTAGGCAGGCGGTGTCTGCCGGACAGACTTACCCGAGGACACCAGCAATCTGATGCCGAAGGTCAAGGCCGTGCCCAGCAGTGCTCCGGCCTGCGTGAGCCGGCGCCCCGCACGGCGCACCAACAGATAGACCACCAGCTTGGAGGGCAGCTCCACCGCCCCGAACAGCAGCTGCGTCTGGTACACGTTCAGCCTCAGCCCCGACAAGTCCAGGCTCAAGCCGTAATAGGAGAAGTTTACTGAAAACCTGAAAGGAGTTACAGTGCTACCAAGGGCCCTTGTTCCACCTTTGTCCTCATCTCAGGAAGACTTGATCTTTTAGAAGGATGATCGCCGGTTCCTGGGACCTTCCCCACCACCCATAATACCCCAACACCGGAGGGTGCAGCATGTGCCAGTGGCCGAAAAGCCTTCACCCTAATCTTCACAGCAACCCTGGGGCATGGCAACTAACCGCAGCCGGTTTTACAAAAAGGAGCTGTCCAAGGTCACACAGAGCTAGAACCTGAATTCAGATCCACGTGACCGCTGCCAACTTCATCTCTTGACCTACCTCAGCTTGACTGCCCCTCGGCCCTCCACAGTTACACTCTTATCTGTCACTCATACTCAGCACAGTCCTGGAGTCTACCCCTCCCTTCACTAGCCCCGCCTCCACCAACCCCAAGTTAGCCCCCTTACCACATCACCATGCAGCACAATGAGATGTGCCGGATCTGTGGTGTTCGGAATAGGTCTAGGTAGGAGGGTCTTGGGAACACCTGTTCCCCCGTGGACACTTTGTTCAGGGCCTGATGAGGGAAGACGTGAGGTTGTGATATCAGAGTTGGTCTCAACTGGGCATGGTGGGTATGTGCTACTTTGTGCTCTTGCGCTCTCTCTCTCTCTCTCTCTCTCTCTCTCTCTCTCTCTCTCTCTCTCTCTGTCTTTGTTTCTCCCCTCTCAGTGGTAGGGGTGGAGGTGCACATGGGAGCTGAGAAGGGGGGACCCTAAGTGAAAGATGTGACCCATCTGAGTCAGGTAGGACAGCCTAAAGAGTTTGGAAAGGGCTTTTCCTATCACATATGGTGGGCCCCCAGGGAGGACACTTCACACTGCTCCTCTCATAAGTGTGCATGCTCACACACACTAACTTCACTCTCACCTCCTGGCTCAGGCTGTCCTCACCCACAGGCCGCCCATTGAGCCTGGCACAGTGGAGCAAATACCTTTGGGCCTCCTCCACTCGGCCCTGAGTCAGAAGCCAGCGTGCAGATTCAGGCACCCACCTAGGGGACAGGCAGGAGGCTCTTTAGCCAGAAAGTTGGTACTGTGAGCCACATCTTCCTTTTGGGAATTTTAGAGCTGTCAACCTCTAGGATGTTCACACAGTCCCCTCTGTCTGGAATGTCATCTGCTTTTCAAGCCCTCCACAATTGATGAGGCCCAGTATAAAAGTCACCTCATGCTATTTACCCAGGCCTGGAGCTCCCCCAGCCTGGGTCTCTTCCTTACTCAACTGAAATGGTCTCACCTTCAAGACCTTAGCTCTCAGCACTAGCCACCCACTTTTCCCACAGGTGGCAGGAAAGCATAGGATAAAGGAGAAAAAGACATACTGACATGAATGAAATACCCACCCTCCCCTCCAGTCTGAGCTCTCCCATGATGCCCAGCCCCATTCCTACTCCTTTAAGGGTCAGCCTCAACTTCTGCTTGACTCTGTCTTTGTCACTGTCTCTCCTTGCTCTTGTTTTCTCTCACTGTGTCTACCATCTGTTGCTTTGAATCTATCTTTCAGTTCTGGGTTCTGTCAATCACTGGTTGGTTCTCTTGTCTCTAAATCTATGTTTCTCTCTGCCCTGTTCTGTTTTTCACTGTCCTGTGCCATCTTCTTTCTCTTGGTCTCTTTTTCTGTCTTTCTTTCAGTGTCTCTTATTGTCTCTTGGTCACTTACTGGTTTTCTTTTCCCTTCATCCTTCTGTCTCTCTGTCTTCAAATCTTAGTCTCTGATTAATTTCTGACTTTGGCTTCCTCTATCTTCCGCTCCCCAACTGCCTCTATTCCTCACCGTATGCTGAGGATGCCTATGACACAAGGCAAAGTAACAGCCATCAGGAGCCATCGCCAGTCCCTTATCAGGTACCCAGCCAAAGCCAGCAGCAGCACGCCTCCTGTCCAGAAGGTGGAGCCCAGGATGCCGGCCACTTCACGGTGTTCCACATCCAGCCACTCCAGCTCTAGGCCCAAGGCCAGACCAGAGACAGGAAGACAATAAGCAAGGGGCCGCCTGGTCTGACTCACTGACAACTTCCCTCCAGCCCTCTAGGCCATGCCTTTCCCTTGACTGCTTTACCAAGTGGCAACACAATAATGGTGAAACCAGCCAGGGTTGAGCCAGTGAGGGTGCGGGTGATGGCAAACATGACATAGTTGACTGAGGCTGCAGATGTCAGGCCCAGCACTAGGGTACTCACATAGGCCACCAGCAGTAGACGGCGCCGTCCAAACCTGCAAAGGGGTTGTACAGGGTCAGCCACCTGTGAAGATTCCAAGACATAGGTAGACTAGGCCCATACCCCCAGCTAGTGGAAGAGGGTTCCCCCCAGCCTTCTCCTTCATTCACCCCACACCGCACTCCACCTGTCAGACAGGTATCCAAAGACCACAGCCCCCATCAGCACACCAATGAAGAACAAGGTGGATGCAACTCTGTTCAGGCCTTTCCGTTCACATACCAGATCCCACTGCAAAACAGGCAGACAAGGGTCTCACATGGGTCTAAGACCTTCTCCAG